CAAGCCTGTAAGTACATGGGAACACACCAGCACCAATTTGATGGCACTGAGTTCCCATTTAGGTGAGCAGACTGGGATTCACGCTGCTTTGCATCCCCAGCAGCTCCCTCCACAAGACATGGGCTGCACAGCAGCTCTGTGAGCCCGTGCCATGCCAGGGCTGTCTGCCTGCATTTCCCTCACTGCTGTGCCACAAACCCCCAAACGCTTTCCATCACCTCCCTCACCCTTGCAATTACCGCCTGCCAAAGGAGCAGTGCTTCCACCCAGGGCACCTCGGGGCAGAGCAGCTGGGCACACAGGCTGTGAGCTCTGCAGCATCAGCACCTCTGCCAGCCCATCAGGGCAGGCTGTGCTCTGTGTTTCCCCATAGCAGAGCTCCCAGTGCCCCTGCAACGCTCAGGAGAGCAAAGCGTAATGAAGGGAGGAACGTGCTGCAGATGGCACTGCTGCGAGCCGGGCTTCCCTCCCTGCCACGCTCTCAGTGCTGGGGGCACAGTCACGTTGGTCTGGTGACGGATGGAATTAGCTCCAATGTGAAAGGGGAAATACAAAGCCATTCACCAACGAGACAGCTGCAGAGGCGCGGGGCTCGGGGCGACGATGCTCTGCACCTTGTTCTGCTCTTGCGCTTTTCACGAGCAGCTCCATTTTAATTAGCTGGGATGCGGTTCTAAGTCAACTCTAAATGATATTATCAAACTAATAGTGTGCGATCACACAGCAGCCTCAGTTGGACTGGGAGCTGCCGCTGGCTGCCATGGGAACTGCGAATTTCGCAGCGCCGCTTCGTACGTCCCCACAGGAAAGAAGGGAAAAGTGGCAAATCCCAACATTCCCCATGCTTTGTGGGGCTCCAAGGACTTGCTTTCCCCTGAGAGCCATCCAATGGGGCTGAATCAGGCAGTGTGTGCCATGCTGGTTCTGTTCCCAGAACAAACCCCCTCTGTCCCCAGCACAGGAAGCGGTGCTTCTGGACATGGCCACGCCATAGCTCTGCCCCACCACAATGCACCTCTGTGCCAACCTGGTGCAGGAGAGCCCCGTGCCAGCCGTGGGGCTGGGGGCCACCTCCTCCTGCCCATGCTCTGCAAGCAAAGGATTGAGCACAAAATCCCAAGTCCCCATTGAGATCTCCTCCAATCAGCCCCCGCTGCTCTGAGTTTTTTTACACGGGACTAATTTTTTAATCAGCGCAATGTAGGACATGATCAGAGGCAATCAAAGGCTGGCAGGGTAATTAGTGTCAATCAGCGTGGTTTTATGGGTATCGGCCCTATCAATCAAACCCCACATTGTGTGTCAGTGAGATTGCTTTCACTTCTCAGAGCTAACACTGTACAGAGCTTTCCCTTCCCGCGATGCTCACCAAAATAGCACAAGTCCTTCAGGAGGCAGATAAAGGACATATTGCAAAGTTCCGTCGGCGCTGACAATTACAGAGCGAGGCTGTGCTGGTCCCACTTGGCACTGCAGCAGATTAAGCACCGAGCTGCATGCTGTGCTCTGAGTGCCCTGCCAGGAGCATCCCGGTCCCTGGGTGCCGTGCTGGTGGTAACGTGCTTTGCAAGCATCCAGCAGGGCTCACCCCAAATCCCAGTGCTTTCCTGTGGTTCACTGCTGCATTTGGCTTTCCCTGAGCTTTTTGCATTAAATGGCCCAAATCCAGCTACAGTAACGCCTCAAGCAAGTCAAGGCTTTCAGCTAGCTGCCTTTAAGGTAATTACTGTAGAACTTCATTATTTTTGCCATACATTTGGCTTTGATTTGTGGGCGTCGTAAAAGGGAATGTGAGGTAGAAGCGTGCTCCATCGGGCAGAGACCCTGGGAGGAGGTGCAGGGGGCAGAGAGGCTCTTGCAGGGCACAGCCAGCCATCCTGCTGGCTTATCCCATCAGAGCCAAGCAGAGGTGGCACAGACACCAGCTACCCCTGCACTGTGCTCCTGGCAGAAAATGTTTGTCTCATTGGCTGTTCTGTGCCTGAGATCTGCTGCACCTTGCTGCCCCGTCCTGTAGGCGCTGTGGGCTCCCTGCCTCTGAAAGAGACAGGAGTATTATTCAGCAGCCTCATCAAATACTATGTTTCAGCTGGCAGGGCTCTAAGTGGTCACCATTCCGTTTATCTCTTTGATTGGTGAGCTCATAATATTTAAACTTCAGAGCTGTATAATTTTATCCTTCCCGAGCAGCAGGCAGTGCTGTGCCACAGCCATGGGACGGAGCTGCCCCAAGGAGCACAGTGCTCTGAGTTCAGCTCTGGCTATGGAAATTCATTGGCTTCCCTTTCCATCGCTGCAGTTCATCAACAGCCCCAGCATGCAGATCACAGCCATGTGAGGGAGCAGAGCCCACTGTTATCTTCCCACTTCAAACCCAAATACTGATGCTACAGGGGTAGAGCCCAGTTATTGCTTGAAGAGACACATTTTTTCTAAGCAAATGCTTAATTGCTCCTCACTGGACACTGGTCATGGGACATTAGGCATCCATAAAAGAAGACTCTTAAAATGTGGGCTGAATCATCTTTCTAGCTCAGTGTGCTGGTTATGACTGCAGAAGAGCTTTACTTCGCCATGGTTTTATTTTTCTATTTGCCTCCCGGGTTGGCACTGTGGCTGATATTCCCTCCATGGCCACGTCTCTGCTTTCTTCCCCAACCCACACTGCAGCAAAATGCCCCATGAGTGCACACAGCCCTTCCCAAGCAGAAGCTCCCTGCCTGTTCTCCCTCCCACCTCTGGCTCCCATCCCCCTGTGATCAATCACACCGGGACTGCACTCACATTAGCAGGGTGCTTCACTGCTCATGCACGATGCTCATGTCCTTGCTAATGGCACAGCAGCAGGGCCAGCCCATCCATCACCTCCTTCACTTTGGGATGTCCCTGTGTGTGAGGCACCACTGCCGTGTCCTAGCCCCGTGCTCAGCTGGGCAGTGTGGCTGCAGGACCATGCACTGCTCCTCCCAGGGCTGTCCTCTTCCCAGGAGGAGGATGGAAAGCTTAATGGGGATTTATCCTTTATTTAGAGCCCGGGGCTCTCCCAGTATAACTCACTGCCTATTGCCCGTTCCACTGTGCCCTATATGCAGGCAGAGTGTTATGCAGTGCCAGCCTTGCTGGGGAGATTAATGAGAGATAATTCCTTACACAGAGGTTTATTGAGTTCCCCGAGTACATTCACCAGCTGTGAAGTGAAACATCTGAGAACCATGCCTGAATACTAAGTGCTGCCTGGCAGCAGTGCAGGGAGGCACACAGAGCCTGGTTCTGCTGGCAAGGCTCTGCTGGACATGGCGTCCGTGCCCAGAACATGCCCACAGCCCCACACCAACACGGGGGCAAATTTCATAGAATGGCTTCATTTGGAGGGAACCTTAAGATCAGCGAGCTCCAACCCTCTGCTGTGGGCTGGCTGCCCCACATATGGGCTGCCCAGGGCTCCCCCAGCCTGGCCTCGAATGCCTTCAGGATGGGGCACATCTGCTGGGAAGAGCAGCACATTAGATGCTGTAGCACCAGGGATGCTCACCTGGACACGCTACGATCCCAACTCGTCCCTGACTGTTCTTTGTCTTCAAGGAACTGCAGAAGAGGGCAACTAGTACAGCTTGCCAGGGCCTTTTTAATGCCTCCTGCAACGTTATGGTCATAATGTTTCCTTGGGCTGCTGTGATCAATACATTTGAGACGCTGAACATGTCAAAACCACATAAAACATTTATTAAGGTGGAATTAAATGAGCACGCGTGAATCAGTAACCTAAATGGATGTTATCCTTCAAGGATGCCAGACCTGAAACCAGGCACGAGTGAAGCCCCAAGGCACTCAGAGCTGTGCTTTGGGGTGGGAAGCTATCCTCCTTCCCCACCTCTGCTTGGTGCCACCTGCTCTCACACACTGCTTCCCAGCCTTCCCCAGGGCACTGCCCATGAGCACCTGCAGGTTCCCTCAGACTGGTGGAAAAGCTGCAAAAAAAGGCTCATAAATCAATTACCCGAGTGACAGAATGTTATTAGATACTTGGGAGTTAATTGTACAGATGCTGATCGCACGTATTTTAATGGCACCAGTAGAGATGTAATATATAATTCCATAGGTATATTCCAGAATAATTTAGCAATTTAATTAATTTTTTTGCTAATGCCTTCTGAATCACCTGCACTCTTCCTCCTAGGGGGAGAGGAGGCAGAAACTTTTCCAGCCAGTCAATCTACTGCAAACTCAGGGCTGTTGGAAATGACTCTGCTTTATTTCTCCATGGGTTTATTCCCAGCAGAGAAGCCTCCACCACAAAGTGCCCCCCAGGCAATGGGGTGCCTGAGGAGAGCTCGACAGCAACACAACCAGCTGATCCTAAATGTGGAAAGCTGAACTGGGGCTGTGAGAAATGCTTTGGACAGATCATGATAGATTGAGAAGATGGAGGCTAAAATGAGTTGTGGATTTAGGTCAAATTCAAGGAGCACAGCCAGGAGAAAATGTGGAAGGAAAATGTAAACAGCAGCAGGCATTTTATTCCAGTCTCCTCCAAATGAAATGTGTGGTTTAAAAAAAGCAAAAATATCCAGTTCTCTGCATTTGCAATGCAGTTTAACTGCTTGTATCCCCTTTTCTTCCCATCCCAAGCCAAAGGATCCAAGAGCTGCCCAAGCCCTTGGGACACTGCTTCAGCTGGGCAAGTGATCATTGGCTTTTGGGGACCAGGACAGAATGACACAAGAGATTTGGGCCACATACAAGCTGCCCTTCCCCATGTGGCAGAAAAGAGACCACAAGAAGCCATCATTCTCAATGGGCTTTTATTGTCCCTCTGGCCCTCGTTTCCCACCCCATACCCAGGGACTGAGCCCCTCATCACCTCTTAGGCACTGGAGACCTGGGGACGTCCCTGTGGTCCAACACACAGTCTGGGGACACTCCCAGTTTTCCACTGCCTTCCCAAGCATTTCTTTCTTTCTTCTTCTTCTTTTTTTTTTTTTTTTAAATTTGAAATATTTTATTTTAAAAATATAGTAGCTGTGGAAAGCAGCCCTCTTTACAAATGCTTGATGCCAGAGTGAAACGCATCGTTGCCATCCTGCTCGGTGCCCACATGCACTGGCATGGGAGGGGCCCAAGGGCAGGAGCGAAACAGAGAGACCCTTCCAAAAATAGAAATATTGTGCTGAGTCGTTTCAAGTGAATGAAATCCGTAAAACACCAGCATGAGGTTGGCTCCAACTTGGCACGTATTGCTCCCGGCAGAGCTGGGATGGGGCTGTCTTCGCTGCCACCTGCCCGGGGAGATGCTATAAACAGCAAACGGTAAATGGGATCATTGGGATATGAGACATCTATGGTCACAGGATTGACTGGTTCAGACACCCCACCCTCCCCCCCAGCCCATACACCCATGGCCCTGTCCCCACATCATAAAAAGGTCTCCGGTAACAAAATCTTCATTCCAGACTTGGGGTCAAGGTGAGGTGCTCCAGGAGTAAAAAGGGACATTGCAACCTCAACAGCCCTCGATTGGGAGGGGAGAGGCTGGCAGGAGGGAGAGAGAAGATTAGCTTGTTCAGGTCCTTCACAAGTTCATTTGGTTTGACTGGAGGACTCCTAGGGTTATACCTGAGATGAAGACGTCTAGGGGACACTCCATAGCTCAATTACAACGTGGTTGGTGTTTTGTGCCTAGAAGAGCCCTCACTGCTGGGATTTGTCCCTCACGCTCAACCTAAGCAGCCAGAGAGCAGCAGCACCTCTCCTCCACTCAGCACGGAGTATCGGAACCAAGGCCCTGAGCCACCACCCATCATGTGTCCAGGATCTCGCTGGTGGGTGATGGCTCATGAGGGATGCCCTGCGTGCTGTGGATGGTCTGGTTGTGGGACAGGGAGTTCTGCTGGAGCTCCAGGGCGATGGCATTCTGGGGGAACTCTTTCACCTGCCTCTTGTACTCCAGGAAGGTGCACGCCTTGGTGGCAATGGCGATGATGTTCTTGCCAATAAAGATGGTGGAGACCCTGCTGTCCTGGAACAGGACCATATTGATGGCCCGGATGAAAATGGTGACAATATTAATGGTGACCAGGCTGAGGACAGGGTAGAGCATCATCTTCTGCGGGGCGATGTGCTCCCCTTGCATGCTGATCTCACTGAGGGACACGCAAGGCAGGATCAGGAGCAGGATGTAGCAGTAGAAGAACATGAGCCCCTCCGCCCAGATGGGCAGGCCGGTCCTGTGCGGCTCCCACAGGTTGGCCTGGATGTCCAAGATGTCCAGCAAGTCGAGGGCCACCCAGAAGAGGCGTCCCCGCAAGTCCTCTTTCTTCCGAAAGGTCCGTATGTACTCCATACTGTCCAAGGCCACCAGCACCAGGTAGAGCCCCGGCACGCAGATGGAGAGCAGCAGAGTCAGGGCCTTCCTGGCCACTGTCTCCAGGTTCTTCTTGTCCGCTTTGTAGTTCTGAAAGATGAAATACAGTTTGATCTCCAGCACAAAGATGTACAGGAACCACAGGATCATGGCGTAGCCCCGCTTGGCTGTCTTCACCTCCGCGCCCACCCACACCGCAACGTAGCGCAGCACGATGAGGAAGCAGATGTCCCCCACCAGCACGATGATGCAGACCCCAATCTTGCGTGGACCCTGGTTCTGCTCCACCAGGTAGGCGTCCATGAAGGCCATGCTGGTCATGATGACGATGGTGGTCAGGCAGACATGGCGCTTGTCGGGTGGTGGCAGCACCATGGTGAGAGCCTCACGCCGGCACTAGGGGAGCAGGCCTGCCAGCAAGGTGCGGGCAGACATCAGCGTGGGCACCACAGGATGCCGTGTCCCCACTTGAGGAGCAGGCTACGGAGAAGCAGCAGGTCAGCTGGCAGCCCCGCTCTTCAGGGCTCTGTCCTGAGCCCCTGGCCAGCCAAGCAGCCCCAGGCACCTTCCTCTGCCAGCAGCCAGGGCTCACATAGCATCCCTGCTCTGCATTCCCGTTGTCTCCAAACTCTCCAGCCCCATGTGGCAATACACTCCTGGCCCCAAAGCCTCTCGCAGATCCTTGGAAGTGTTGCAGGAACTGAGGCGGCAGGGAGAAGCGGGCTGGTAGAGAAGAAAGAGGAGGCAGTCCTGGACTGAGGGCGTCCCTGTGCACTCACAGGGAGCCACCTCCACACCGATCCTGGCAGGGCTGTGCCATGCCCAAGTCAAACACCATGAGCTCCTGCTGCCTGTGGCTGTGCGTGTCTCGCTCCATCCCGTCTCTCTGGAAAAGATGGCAGAGAACGGGCATTAGGGACCCTCTGTGCCATGGGACAAAAGCCCCCCAGCCCCTCAATTGGAGCCAGGCTCCCACCCACACACCCTACCAAGGGCATACATCCAACACCACAGCCCATGCATACCTTAACACTAAGTGGCTTTTTCATAATATAATAAGGATTGGAAAAGACCTACAAGATCACCTAGTCCAACCATGCCCACTAACTATGTCCCTCAGCGCCACATCTCCATGGTTACTGGTTACTACTGACTCCAACACCTCCCTGGGCAGCCCATTCCACTCTATCACCATTTTTTCAGAGAAGAAATTTTTCCTAACATCCAACCTGAACCTCCCTTGACACAGCTTGCAACCATTACTTCTCATCCTATCACCATTATCTTGGAGACCAACCCCCACCTTGCTACAACCTCCTTTCAGGTAGTGAAGAAAGAAGCCTAAGAAACCTCAAGACACCAAAACCTTGCCCTTCTGTGCATGAAGAAGCTGCATATGTTTGTGGATCCTCTCCCAGTTGGGACAACTGGTGTGCAAAACTCATGTCTCAGGTAGGAACTGCTCAGGACCAAGGCAAGGAGCCCAATGGGAAAGATGCGTGTGCAACACAGAGCTTCCCAGCATGGCAGGCACTGCACCCCAAACAGCCCTGCATTCACCAGCAGGCAAACTCGCAGGCACCGCTTGTTCATTCTGTTTGTTCCTCCTTTGGCTTTCAGGTTAAAAAAAATATATATAGTCACTGCTGCAACTGCTTTGAGACTTCTGCCAAGTTTTACAGGGGATTTACAGCCAAGGATGGATAATTCCAGATAAATTAGGTCTTTCAAAAGGGAATGGTGTTTTTTTTCTCTCCCCTTTCAGCGTTTATTCCTTCCAAGGATTGTGGTTAGTGGAGCGCAGTGGTTCTCACACCAGCACAGGTGCTGCAAGAGCTGTGCACAAGAGCCACTGTTTTCCCCACCTCCATCCAGCCTTGCCTGTATGAAAACAGGGAGGTCTCCACACTGAGTGATGCATGACTGTCCTACCGGGAGGGGGAAGTACAAGTCCCCTCGGAGGACTATTACAACAAACAGGTGGTTTTTAAACAATCATTTTAAACAGTCATTAGTTGGGAAGTCCCACTTCATAATTTTTAAATGACATTCCGAAGCCACTTGAGAAACGTCCTGGATAAACAAGAAAATGAGTTTGTCAGACAGCCACAAGAGCACATCGGAGGCAAATATTTGTTTAGACATGTATTCCCAATACTTTCCTCCCAGTGAATTCCTGTAAATAAAAGTGGGGAGGTACCACGCAGTCCCTGTCACCTTGGGAGGTCCCAGCACAGAGCCCCCCCAGGGTTGGGCTGCTGCCACACACATCCTCACTGATGCCTGAAGGCACCTCCTGAACCCAGCTCTACCTTGAAAATTAGCTTAAATTATTGAAGTGATTTGAATCCTGTCTATAAATAAAAAGAGGAGCGAGCGAGGCAAAAGCGTACCCATCGCGCTTCCCAGGTAGTTAGGATGCTGCATTGCTTAAAGCTTAATTTGCACTTTAATTGCATTGATTTATTCCAGCTTTCCTGATGTAAATCTGGAGGTGCCCTGCAGAGCTGCTACCGCCTCCCTCCTGCCTGCAGCTCCTCCTCTCCCTGCCCAGAGCTCACCCCTTGAAGTGCCACTGCATCCCCATGGGCGCATCCAGGGGTCCCCCTCTGGCACTGCCATGGGATGCTCACAACCCAGGGTCGTCGTGCAGCCAGCAGCCCCAGAGATCTGCATCCTCCCGGGCATCTCAAGAGCATCCTGTGCAGGAAATGAGATTGAAGAAGAATTTTTCCGGGCCCTGCCCACTAATTGTATCTGAAGGAGGAAATAGCCCTCTTGCTAATGATTACATGTAATCTGCCGTGTGGGCACAGCAAAATGGGAAGAGAGCTGCAGACTGTTCCCAGAAGAAGCAGAGCAGTGAGGCTGGCAGAGGAATCAGCCCCTGCCCACAGCAGTGGGCAAATCCATGCTGCACCCCTGCTCCTGGTGCTTGTGCCCCTACAGGGCTGTGCCTGCTCACAGCACCCAGCTGGGTGAGGTTAGACAGACACAGGGGAAAAAGCCCTCGCAGACATTTCAGATGCTTAAATACAGTGTTCAGAGAAAGTAAATGAGTCATTTGGACTGGAATAAAAATGTAAAAATTATAATGCTCTGCTTCAACGCTATCAAAACAATTTCCCAATAAAACATGTGGCTCCAGCAGCAGAACTGCTCAGTGATTTCAAGGCAGGTGCACTTGTAAGATCTCATTCTGATTAGCACCAAACCCCAGACCTCCAAGCGCCCAAATCCCCCGGGTACCCACAGCATGGTGCTGCTACCATGGGAACACCCTGCCCTGGGCTGGAGAGGCAAAGCCACACAGATTGTATGATGATCAGAGCAATGGGACCCTTCCACCCACACCTGGGTGCTGTGGACGGGAGCTGCACACAGCTCCACGCTCAGCTGGTAATTCCCTGGTGAAACAGCCCAAACCCAGTTGGCCACTGTGCTCCATCCACCCAGAGCTTCGGTCTGCTCAGCACTACCAGCAGGCACAGATCTGAGTGCCAGCCCAAGGGAAAGCAGGGGCACCAGAGCACACAGCTTGCAGCTGAGTTCAGTAGTTCAGGGCTGCTCTTTTGCACACAAGTCACTGCCAGGTCCTCAGATAACCTCATATTATTGATATTAGGGGAAAGAAAACCGAGATACCAGTGAGGAGCTTTTATAGAGCTGCTTTTCCTTCTGCCTGGGCAGTGCTGGTTGGAGGCACACAGCTGTGCATCCTCCCCCCATCCCTCTGCACAGAGCTGCAGGGAGTGAGATGCAGAGCATTGGACAGACAGTCTGCTGCCAACAGCCTGCCCTCTAATTGAGAGCAATGGTTATGCTCCCAATTAACACGAGGCGGCTGCAGAACAGGAGAATCACAGAGTCATGAAGATTCAAAGAGACCTCCAAGAACACCAAGTCCACCCACCAGCCCACTCCCACCGTGCCATTAAACCACATCCCTCAGTGCCACATCTCTGCTATTCTTGAACACCCCCAGGGGATGGTGACCCCATCACCACCCCGGGCAGCCTGCATCAGTGCCCAATGACTCTTTCTGGAAAGAGGTTTTTCTAAAATCCAACCTGAACCTCCACCATGCCAGATGACTTGCAGAATTAAGAGAACTGTGCCTCGCTGTGCACTCCGTGAATTCATTTTGGCAATAGGAGCCCAGTGTTAATTACCGATGGCAGCAGCTCCTCGCCACCAGGCTCAGCAACACAGCTCCCATGACACGTCTTCCTGCAGACACTGATGAATGTGGCAGTCCCAGACCAAAGCTGAGTCACTCATAGGGTGGGCAGTGACACAGAATACTCCATGAGGCAACATTGGTACCCACAGCTCCAACACCGCCTGGGAGATAAACACTGCACCCACCTCGATGCACTGCAAGAAACATAACACCAGCCCCAAGGTCAGCAAGAAGACATTTCTCTTCCTCTGTTTTCAGCCTTCCTCCTACTCACCATCTAATAAATCCAATAACATCCGTCTTGCTGGTGTCTAATTCAATCGCAGCGCCCAGAGAGCAGACTTCTATCACTCAGAGCTGACCGGCTGCATCCTTGGCACATGAGCCTGGCCACAGGGCTCTGTAGGCAGCTCCAGGAGAGACCAATTACTTGGGATCAGCACTCACCCTCCCCATCCATTGCACACTTACAGGTTTTCCCTGGGTCATGCCTAATGGAATTATTGAGATGCTTGAACAGTGTGGTCAGAAGCAGCTGACGGCTCCCAGCCTGAGCTCTGGGCAGAGTGAGGAGCTCTGTACTCCATCTGAGGACCAGGTTCAATAAGCTGGGCTCTGACTCCTGTCCTAAAGGCAAAGGATTTCCAAGATTGCACGGCAGCCATCACCAGGCCCAGCTCTCCAAGCACACTTTGGGATCGCCATGCCGGGTCACGCTCAACACAGTGGGATTCATGTTCCCAAAGCTCCCTCTGGCAGAGATGTTTGGATTCAGCTGTTCATTTCCATAAGCCATTGGCTTTTCAGGTTTTCTTTGGTAATAAAATTCTTCCCCCATGCA